ATAGCAATATATATAATGAGTTTTTCTTACAAAACAAAACAAAAGCAGTGCAATATTTACCGCAGTGTAGCCAGTATTGAAATTTGTAATGCAAGTCTTGAAATGTTACTGACTCCCTGGGTTCTTGTGCTCTCAGGAGACCAGACAGAAGTGCCTTACCTGAGGAGCAGGCTTGTATTCTTGTTTGGGGGAACAGGACAGAAAGCCACGGAGGACAGGAAGCCCAGGGTGACCCAAGGGCAGGACAAAGGTGTAAAACTTCTGTCTCATCCCTGGGGTAGGCAGTGACCCAGTCGCTCAGTATCTTCATGTGCAGAGGCGGAGCTGTAGTTGCGCTTGTACTCTCTTTATTAGACCTCTTCATTCCATGTGAATCTCATTGCATCTTAAGTTCCATGTTGGAATGCGATTTTATATGGTAATACAGCAAAGGTGACTATTGGTTACCTTCTCTTCTCATACATTTGTCCTTGGTCACCTGGAATTTGCCCCTTATCCTCTGCCCTGCCTCAATGGGTTTGATCTTAATTGTTTTTCTGGCTCTGGTTCTTGGTTTCTATGCTGGCCACACTGTCTTTGACAGTTGAGATGACTTCATATCCTTTGTCTTAACTAGGGTGTCTTAATTCCATAACCTGGAAAACTGGTCCAGCTCCTTATTGTGTGGTTGTTTTTTTTTTCTTTTTTTCTTGTTTTTTTTTGTTTTTACTCTCAATTTTCTGGTGTGTCTGTTAACTCCATGAGACTGAGGGCTAGCCCAGCTGTCTCGGAAACACTAACACATTTATTTTAATGCATTTTGTTTGTATGGTTTCTTAAAGCTAAGATTACTTTCTGGGTAAAATAATCAAATTCCAATAGAACTCTCCTGTAAAATTAAATTTATTCAGTTCCTTAAAATATGTAAGATTATATTTGCAAGGCAAAAATTCCAAGTATATAAATAGGTTAAAAATAAAACCTAACATTCATAATATATCATAGCTGGGACAGACATGTAGGAAATTCCTTCTTTGTACAGTGACTTATATCTTAGCCTTTTCTATAAATTTCTGGTTTTAAAGATTGCCATGAAGTCTTTGAGCAGAAATATTTCTACTTGCAAAGAGTCGTTTTATTTAGATATTTCTGTGTGAAAACTAAGAGCTCAGAAATGAATACATTTAAAATGGAAAATAAATCCTGGAAGGCTTATTTAATATTGGTCAATTATTAAAATGAATAGGCAGTAAGCTATTTCAGTATAAACTTTATATCTTCAAAATGTTATTGCTCATTCCTTTGGAAATTAATATTGTTTTTATTTAGAAAGCTTTTATAATATTTGGCGTGATAATAATTCATGTGTTACATAAGAAAAAATAAGAATTTGGACAATTAAAGTTACATACAGAAATTCCTGGAGTGTGAAATATTATTTTAGCTCATAAATAAAATGCTATCAAACAAAATGTTTGTCATTATTTTTATATTTAAAAAACAGTGATGCCATCTTTTTGTTATGTTGCTGATGTCTGGAGGTCAAATGACCTACCTTCCTTTTTCCCCTTGGAACTGCAAGTAGCATTCAGAGTTCTTGGAAAACAACTAAAACCAATTAGCACATTGACTTTGATGTGTGCCATCCTTGAAAATGACATTGCACTTCCCCTGAGGAGAGACGATGTTTCCAAGCATTTTAAAAGTCAATGATTCAGATTTTCTTAGAAGATAGGCAATGGGATACAGTGCCTTTAAACCTAAACTATGAGGGTGAAAAATGACTGAAGTAGTGTCAAAGACACTTCTACTTATTCATTAGTGGAGCATTCATATAAAGGTATATCATTTTGTTGCTCACTGCATCTCATTTTTCTTATCAAATAAATGTTCACAGTATAATTTTCTTTCTGTTAAATGTGTCTTGTTGATCATAACAAATTGATGCCTGAAAATATTTCATTTGAACTATAGCATGCTAGTTTTAAATGCATGGTGCATTTTTCTCTATATACAAAATAATTAGGTATATTTCATTATCCTTAGATCATATCTGAAGCTTGTCTTTGAGTGAGAGAAAAATCAGAATTGCACACTCTTGAACTATAGCTGACAGATAACTGTTCATTTCATTTCTAAAAATAATTTTAGTACAAAAATGTGATTTACTAAATTATCAGATGACTAAGTTCATAACAAGTCATTTGAACATCCTCGTAACTCATGTAACAGGAATGTCCTATGTCTTGGCTCCTATTTTACAAACATATTAGTAGCTAAAAAAATAGTAATTGATAGCTCTCCCTTTATTTCAGACACTTTTTTCCCACTCAACATAGCAACTCTATTGCCTCAATATCCTGCCCTTCTTGACATTAATTTTATTCCCATTTCTAAGTCGCATCAGTTATCTTTCTTCACTTATGGGCTATGTGCTATGTTCTTGCTAATTAGATTCATTTTAAAGAATTTGGCCTATCAGTACACATTGGACTTGAATTAGGGTCATTCAAAGGAGTACATTTGTTTTCACAGTGAATCCATTTATTTATTTTTGGTTTTATTTGTTGTTGTTGTTTTGGCACTGGGAATTGAACTCAGGAAGTCGCTTACGCCACCAAGCTATATCCCTGGCCCTCACAGTAAATAAGATAAAAAGTTTAATAATTAATAGATTTCCTGGGCAAAGAGTTCATTTCAAATCACAGCTGTGAAAAGAAAGGTTGTACTGTTCTTTTCTTCTGTTCACCTAACCTTTTTGATCTTCCTATAACAATTTCTTTTTAGAAGAAATTATTGGAGTATCTAACCTGCACCCTTATACAAGAATCTATGCCAAGTCAAAGTTTTCTTTTTCATTTTTTCTTCTTCCTCTTAATAATTCTACTCTATGCATCCTTACCACATTGAGTTTGTCCTTGGAATAGATGGCAAAGCTCTAAGTGAGGGTTTAATTATAACCATTTAGAGACAACTTAAAAACTCCTGTCTAATTTACTGCAGTTCCAAAGTAGAGCCTGGGTGAGAGTTTTAAAACTACTAATAGATCACATGCTTGCAGTGAGATTTGTAAAGTTTGAAATTCTTTTCAAGGAGAATAAAGAGGCTTTTATAATTAAAAATCACATGAAAAGATCCAGATTAGAATTTTGACTGTTTTCCTTTGACTTCACATCTTATTGTCTAGTTTTATGGTTATTTTTTCAAAAATAGCTACCTAGCCAACTAGAGTTCTGATTTAGGACATGTTTTTGTTCTTGTATTTTATTTTATTTTCTAGAGAAACCTGCATTCACTCATAAAAAGTCAATATTACTTAATTTCAATAGTAGAATTAAGTCTTCCAAAATCTGACAAGACTAAATTACTTTAAATTATTTTAACTCAGATGAAACTATTCAATGTCTTTGCTATCTTTTGCACACTGAAGTTTTTCTCTTCTTTGAGATCTGTCATATTTTTTAATCAAATAACACGTCACTATAAAATGAATAAATAGATACCCCAAAGATTTACACAAAACAAAATACTAAAGTAATTTTCTTTCCCCAAATAAATTCCTATTATTTATAATTTATAAGATGTAAGTCTGTCTTTTTTGTAGCAGAAAGTTAAAGACAAAATTGAATTAAGAAATAAAAATATTGTTCCTAAGGAAAAAAAAAAATCTATCCCAAGATAATGGTCTTCACAAGAAGAACTATTTTTAATCTTACTTCTTAAAATGTAATTTTAAACTCATTTTCTTAAAAAAGTATAAAAATCTATTTTTGTCAAGGTTGCTGGGGTGAAAAAATAAATTTCCAAGCATCATGAATACTCTACGAAAACTTCTCTGTATTTTTTCTGATGTTTCACGTGAATACATTTCTATCTGAAGTCAACTGCTTTACTTAATGTTAAAGAAGACTTAATGTTACTATTGAAATTAAGTAATATTGACTTTTTATGATTGAATACAGGTTTCTCTAGAAAATAAAATAAAATATAAGAACAAAAACATGTCCTAAATCAAAACTCTAGTTGGCTAGGCAGCCATTTTTGAAAAAATAACCATAAAAGTAGACAAACTGTACTCTTGTATATATCTCAGTTTGAATCAAATTTCTAGATCTCATAATGAAAGAGATTATATCATTATCTATCAGACACTGGGGGAAATGTGATTTTTGTCCCTTAGCCAAAATTCATTCTTCATTTCCCGCTCTCAAGAATATGTGTCATCTACTATATTATTCTGTCAAAGTACTCCATAGGTTTGCATTTATTTTGCCTTACCATTTCTCAAGTTTCTAAGACTGTATCACTTAGAATTGTTACAGTGTACTTTACTGAAATTCCTGAGTTAGGGCAGAATATCTACTCTCCTGCCATGGGAATGGATAAGTTTTAAAGGTTTTGACTTGAAATTTCAAATAGACAGCTATCATTTCATTTACTTTGTGTTTCTGTCCTACTATTGGAAATCTACTCATATCTCTATTCATGTAAGAAATTGAACGTTATCCTCATGGTTAACATTTGTATAAATGCTGCAAAAAATGTTTATGGCCAAAGAGCCATTGTATCCTGAAAGACATTATGTAATTTTTTTCTATATGTTATATACTAATTCCTGAATTTAGCTGTATGCTTGAATGACTTTTGATTTCACCAGGCCCATGTGTGTTTTAAATGTAATTCTTCTTGAGTGTTCTTTTTGTATTTGTCTACCTAGAAAAGAACTACTTGAATTTTTGGATATAATTTGTTAGTTGTAAGGTACAGGCCAGTTTCTCCGGCTCATTATCAGACTTTGTATCTAGTATTCAATAGCGATTTATAAGGCTGGAGATATAGCTCAGGGGCACAAGTGCCTGCCTGGCAATCACAAGGCCCTGAGTCCAATTCTCGGTGCCCAAAACAAAAAGATTCTAAAAACAATTTATGCTTTTAAAGAAACAAATTTGGAAAGCTAATTGTATGTATCAACTTTATTCATATTTATACACACAAATATAGTTCAGACATGATATGTTGAACTTTTCATTATATTTTATTCCTTCAAGAAGTACGTGCATCTCCTTCCTCCTGCCACCTCCTCCTCCTCCTCGTTTCTGCTTGTAATGAAGCATCTGTGGAACAGAGGAAAGAAAATTGTACCTCACACTTATACCCTCTCCTTTTTATAAGGAAAAAAAGATAAAACAAAATTACATGACAAAATATTAGGAGAATAACAATAGTTAATGCATTACATGTTATTACCTTTAAAGCAGTTGCCCAGGGTATAAGACAAGGACATAAAAATTTCTCTGATCAATTATTAGCACAAACCTGCCTTTTTAATGACCTAACAGACACTAACAGTATTACTGACTTGCATTTCTGGCCTTTCCCCTACTGTCCTTTCACCTTTCCCCCATCTTAGTTCCTTTTTCCACTTGAATAATTTCTTCCCATTTCATAGTATCTCTTATATATTTTAAAACTTATTTACTGTTTCAGTTTCTCACACCAGGGAGACAAAATGGTATTTATACATGTCAGTCTGATTTATTTCACTTATGAGTATCATCTCAGGTTGTATCCATTTACTTATAAAAGTCTCAAATTAACCCTTCTTTATAGCTAAGTAATACTGCATTGCATAAAAACATCTTTTTTATCCATTCCTCAGATGATGGGCATTTGTGTTGTTTCCTAGATTTAGCTATTGTAAACTATGCTGCTATAAATATGGGTGTGAACATATCACTGTGGTAAGATATTTTTATTCTTCTGGGAAGATACCCAGAAGGAAAACAGCTAGGTGAAAGGGGACCTCTCATCATAGTTTTTTTGAGGAATCTCCATACTGATTTCCTTATACCACTCTATACTGCTGCCAACAGTGGAGAAGTGTTCCTTTTTCCCCACAGCCCCTCCAGCATTCGTTATTGGTTTATTTCTTGAAAACAGCCATTCTTTCTAGAGTAAGATGCAATCTCAGTGCTATTTTAATTTACATCTCTCAAATGACCAGTGATGTTGAATATTTTTTCATATATTTATTTGCTGTTTGTATTTCTTCATCTGAGAAATGGATATTCACCCCAGTTGCCCATTTTATGACTGGGGGTTTGAATTTGGGTTCTGATTATTTTTAATTCCTCATATGTTATAGATAGAAGTTTTTTGTCTGAGGGACAATTGGCTAAAACTTTTCCTAACTCTGTGAGCTATTTTTTTTCACTTGGTTGGTGATTTCTTTTGCTATCCAAAAACTTTTCAATGAGATGAAATCTCAGTTGTTGATTCTTTGAGGTATTTCCCATGTAGTCTGGGTTTTGTTCATGAATTTTCGACTTACAGCTGTGACTTCAAGATTTTTACCAACTTTCCCTTCCAGTAGATTTAGGATTTCTGTTTTAATATTTAGATCTTTGATCCATTTTGACTTTAGCTTAATGCATGGTAATAGAAATGCATCTAGTTTTTAGTCTTTGGCATGTAGAGAACCAGTTTTTTCAGCTCCATTTATTAAAGAGGGTTTCTTTCTTACAGTGAAAATGTCTGGCCCCTTTGTCAAAGATAAGGTGGCTGAGTGTGTTTGCAATTGTGTCTGCATCTTGTAATCTGTTTGACTGGTCCTCAGGTCTGTTTTGTCGTTTTTTTTCTTTTTTGCAGTTGCCATGCTGATTTTATCACAGTAGATTTGTAGTATAATTTCAAGTCAGGAATTGTGATGCCCCCTGACTAGTCTTTTTTTTTTTTTTTTTTCCTCAGAATTGCCTTTGTTACTCTAGTTCTCTTCTAGTGCCAGATGAATTATATAAATCCTTTCTCTAGTTCTCTGAGTTGTGCTAAGAGTGTTTTGATCAGGATTGCATTAATAATGTATAATAATTCTGAGAATATGACCATTTTCACTATGTTGGCTCTTCATATACATGAGCAAGGGATATATTTCCATATTTTGATATCCTCATCAATCTCTTTCTTCAGACTACTGTAATTTTGAACATATATATCCTTTATTTTCTTTGTTAGCTTGATTGTTAAGTATTTCATATTTTAGATGCTATTGTGAAGGATATGATTTCCCTAGTCTTTCTCAGTGAGTTTATTGTTTGTGTACAGGAATGCTATTTATTTCTGAGTGTTGACTTTATATTCAGCTATGCTACTGAATTTCGTTATTAAATCTAGAAATGTTTTGGTGGAGTTTTTAGAGTCTTCTATATAAGTATCATGTCATCTATTAATAATGATAATTTCACTTCTTCCTTTCCTATCCTTATTCCTTTTATTTCTCTCCATTGTCTAATTTCTCTGGCTAGTGTTTCCAGAACTATATTGGAAAGGAGTGGTGTGAGTTGATATCCTTGTCTTGTTCCTGATTTTAGAGTAAAGGTTTTCAGTTTTTGTCTATTTAGTGTCTGTGCTTGTGTATTCTTCAGAGTATCCAGTTTTTTTTAACCTCAGGGATGAATCCCATTTTATGTGCTGAGTTTCTGGATCTTGATTATTTTATGTCTGGGTGCAGATTTATTTTAGTTATGGATAATTGGCATTCTATATGCCTCACTTAACTGTATGTCAGATTGTTTTCCTAGGCTTGGTAAATTTTCTGCTACTTCTTCTGCAAATAGTTTTTTCTTATGTCATTTGTGTTAAGTCCTGCTTTTGTGATGGAAACCAATTATTCTTATATTATTTCATTTGAATCATCCTGCAGCTGTTGAATTGTTAGTTCCTGATCTTTTGTTATTTTCAACAGTTCTTTCCTCTCATGATCACTAGCCTAGATCACGTGTTCAGGGTCTGAAATTCGGTCTTTAGTTTTGTTCAAGTGGTTTTGCCAGGTTTTAGAGGAATTTCTAGTTTCCTGGATATCTGTTTGAATCCATTTAATGAATTCTATTTCCTTTAGAAATTGATCATTCATGGTTTCCATCCTCTTCCTATCATCATCTATTTTTTAATCTATCCATACTCTACATTTGCTGAGCAATTCCCTTATAAATGTGACTTTTTTTTTACCTCAAATATTATTTCAGACCTGATTTCCTCTCCAGCCTCATGGATTTGTTTCTTTACTTCAGTTGTTATTATTTCAGAAGCATCAAATGAGTGTCTTCCATTTTCCTCTATCTTGTTGTCTCCTGGACTTGTTCTGAATGGGTTAGACTTGTGAGGTTGCATTTTGCCTTTGTGTCTTGTTATTTTCTATCTCAAAAGTTTTTATTTTGTTTTCTGTGTTAATCCTTGGAAGTTTTTGCACTAGGTAGTTTATCACTAGCATCAAGGCCTTTCTAAGCAAGGTGTATTCTTCAGAGTATCCAGTTTTTTTAACCTCAGGGATGAATCCCGTCTTTATCATGTTCATTTCCTGCTCATGATTACCACTCAACCCTGCCACTCTGTGCTATCTCCATATGTATCAGTGAATTGATGTTATTTTTGTAATTATTCCTTGGATAGGTCATCATCAAGGCATGTTTGCCAAATACAGAATTTTTCATATCTTATATATCTTAAGTGTGAAAATTAAGGATTAATTAATACAATAGTTAATTTCTGGTAAAACCCTATGCTAAGTTTTTACCTGATTGGCAGTCAATTTGAATGCCAGGATAATCCCGCACTATAGCTAGTATTCCCCTCTAAATCAGTCCTTTGAAGTGTCACTTTCTTTGTAAGGTTCTGCAGAAGTCCCTCTCAACCTCAGTTTTATCCATATATGCATAATGGCTTTCATATGGAGTGATGGCTTCATGAAATTCTGCAACTCAGCTTTTGTCTTTCCCTGCCACTCAAAAAAAAAAGCTATTGGAATACAGTCAAGGAAAGTAAGACATCATGTGACTGACATTTATGTTTTTATTAAAGTATAGACTACATAAAATTTGCACTTTCATAACTCACAATCTTTACAATAATGAAAAACTCATCCTCTATTGTTACTACTCCAGAACACTTCATTTGCAGTGTTCTTCTATTGTTTCTATTGCAGAACACTTCTTTAGAAGTTAAACTCAGCTGCCCACTCCTCCTCCCATCCTCTTGCGATGTGCAGCACACATGGTAGGACAGATGGCCAGAGAGAGGTGTATTATCTGTGCTCAGGCAGCAGTTTCTCTGTGCATCTTTACGATTAGCATATGACTCTTCTGCCCTTATTTTCTTCATCTGCTAGTGTTAAGCGAGGTAGTCACATCTGTTGTACAGATTGCTGGAATACTTCTTGCTAAACAGTTAGGTAGGGATTGCCTATACAGTGGAAAATTGTAAGTGTCTGTTTCTGCCTGGTTTCCCTGGAGAGATAAAGGTCTTACATCGACAGCTTGAAGGTGACTTGCCTGATGAACTTTTATCATCATCCTAATTCAGCAGCAAGCTGCAGGTTCACAGAAATAAATGACCTATACTACTTTCCTTATTTGCTAGATTTCCATAAATCCTAACCTTACACATACTATTAGTGATGAATAAGACAATGAATCTAAACTTTTTATGTGTTAGTATTCAACTGGTTAATACATACACAGTTTAGCAAATGCTAAGAACTACTAAAATAGCAGTTTTCCTACCTCTTTTTTCTTATGTAAGATTTAATAAATACTTATTGAAAAATCATAAATAAGATAAAGGTGCAAAATAAAATTTTTGAATTGAAATTCTCAAGTCAAGTGGAAGAAATTCTAAACTCATTCTAGAATCATAGTGCTTTAGCACAACCTCTAAAAACAGAGTCTAATATTGTTTGTATGGTTTTTTATTTAAGTATGAAATTTTCACCCCTCCCAACAACATGGTGACCTTATCTGAAGAAGTCAATGTGAATGTAGATAGTTTAAAAATACCCCATAAGTACTCATTATCCCAATCTCAGAACTATCATTTTTCTGAGAGAATATCTCTGCATACAGGCAAGCAATCCCCCATCTCCAGCTAAGAAGTTAGCAACTGTAAAATGAACTCAGGATGGATTACCTCTCACAAAAACCAGGGTTCAGGCAAGATGGTGTAAAATGTTATTACCTTTTTGAAACACGGAATGAAAATAATTCCAGAACAGTTCATGTGATTAGATCTATTTTTATTTGAGCACTCAGTTTGCACTTCGCTTCATCCTTAGGGCTTTTCGGCA